TCTTTCTTTCTTTCTTTCTTTCTTTCTTTCTTTCTTTCTTTCTTTCTTTCTTTCTTTCTTTCTTTCTTTCTTTCTTTCTTCCCCCTTTCTTTTTCTTTCTTTTCTCAAAATTCTTTCCCTCTCTTCCTCTCCTCTCTTCTTTCTTTTTTTTTTCTTTTGCTTATTTGTGTATGTATCGTGACTGGTTTTAATTGTAAAAATTAATAAACTATATCTATAATAAAAAAAACCATAACCATTAAAAACCTGGCACCCAAGTTAATTCAGCACACTCCATCCTTCCTTAAATCCTCTGGTCCATCTCATCCTATTCCACCACTGGGGTGGGGGGCGGGAATTAGATCTTAAATGCTTTTTTGGGAGTCTATGAAGTTAGAGGCCTGCAAAACTCCAAGAACAAAAAAACTATTTTCCAAATTTATGAATGATTTTTGTTCAGATGTAATAGACAAATTTCTGATGATTTATCTAGATGACATATTGATTTACTCTGAGAATGCCAGATGCTCAGGTGCAGCAGGAGGTGTTGCAATGGCTAAGGGAGAACAGGACGTTTGCCAAGCTTGACACCTTCAACAATGGAACCATTTGGGCTGCGGGACTTCTACTAATGGTCTCCAGAGGGATCCTACAAAGATGTGAGCAGTGGTACCTTGGTACACCCTGGCCATAACATTAGAGATATTCAGAGTTTCCTGGGCTTTGTTCATTTTTTACAGGAAGTTCATTTCAAGCTTTGCGTACAAAGTTAAAGGCTCTCACTCAGACATCCAGGGTGGATTTGGGAGCTCTGCCTCGATTTCACTTCTGCTGGAGCCAGGATTCTCCCAGGATCACAATACTTTCTAACTTCTACAGTCTCCCAGGTCCCTTTTTTTTTTCCTGGGAAGACCTTGTAGCATAACGCATCGATCTTCATCCAGCCTTGGGGACAAGTGCCTTTGGCTCCTAGGTGAGAAGAAAGCTCAATGAGAAGATAGCCAGGAGAGCAGCAGCGGGAGGAAGGGACAGGAGGGTCCACAAATGTTCCTTTTCTGGCTGCATTGCAAGCATGGGTGATTACCAGTGGTGGTATTCAGCTGGTTCTCACCGGTTTGGGTGAACCGGTAGTAAGGATTTGGCGTGGGTTACGGAACTGGTAGTAACTTCTGGATGGCCACACCCCCAGCCTGGTCACCCGGTCGCCGCTCGCTTGCTTGCCCCACCTGCCCGATACCCGATGCTCGCTCACCCAGTCACTCCTTAAGGAATTTCTCTTTTCTTTTTACCTCCTAACTATCAGCAGTTCCCACGAACAACTGTGCTGGGATTCCCCTCACTTCTCACTGCATTCTCCAGGAGGCTCCCCTGAGGCCAGGAAGGCCTCAAAATGGACTGTGCTGCACGCCTCTCCTATGCTCCATTTTTTTCTTCTTCCTGAGCCCTAGGGGAGCCTTCCTGGGGCAAAAACAGCCCCCCTAGAGGCTCCCCTGAGACCACAAAGTCCCAAAACTGGGCTGGTGGGTGCTAGTAATTGTTTTGTCTCTGCAGTGACTGCATATCCCGCCTTGCACTCCGATAATTGTGCCCCTCTTTTGCGCCCTCTGTGGCGTTGTTGCCTGTATTGCAAAAGACACACAGTCCCCAAGCTCTGTCCTGGCAGGCAGGAGGGATCCCGCTGGTTTTTTTAAGAGGACCTTTGGAAATTGGCACACCTGGATTCAGAAGACCTTGGAGGTCAGAAGATGCCAAAATGTACGGTGACCTCATGCAGCATCAGGATATCCTTTGCACAGCTGGAAGCAGAGTTGGACAGTAGTGAAGAGGTTGGGGAGGAACCTGGGCCAGTCTTGGAGGCTGAGAAAGGCCCGGAGGAGGGCTCTGCATCCGAGGCAGGGATGGGGCCATCAGCTGCCTTTGGGCTCAGACAGCAGTGAGGTGGAAGAGCTTCTGGAACCGGTTCCCAGCCTGTGCATGCCCAGAACTGCCAAAAGGAAGGAACCATGAAGAATTCAGGGTCAATGTGGGAATAACATCTCACCAGTGGTGGCATTCAGCAGGTTCTGATCAGTTCTGGAGAACCGGTAGCGGAAATTTTGAGTAGTTCAGAGAAGCGGCAAATACCACCTCTGGCTACAGATTTTACAGTCTCCTCCCCCAGCCACGCTCACCAAGCTACGCCCAGGGAACTGGTAGTAAAGAAAATTGAATCCCAAAACTGCATCTCACCAACGTAGGACCTTATTTTATACAATATAATAGTGAATTAAAAAAAAAAGAAGACAAAATGCAGGCTGTTTGGGATGAGGTAAAGCAGAAAAGAAGATAAATTAAAGACCTTTCCAGAGAAGATAAGCATTTGTTTGTTTGTTCTCGTTGTAGAATACCTTATGCCACCAGACTTGAAATTCTAGAACTAGAAAACCTTGAATTACGCCATCTTCGGTCTGATTTAAGCATGGTATATAAAATCATACATTGCAATGTCCTACCTGTCAATGAATACTTCAGCTTCAACCATAACACAAGAGCAAACAATAGATACAAACTCAAGGTTAACCGCACCAAACTTGATGGCAGGAAATACGACTTCAGCCACAGAGGGGTCAATGTCTGGAATACTCTACCTGACTCTGTAGTTTCTTCCCCAAACCCCCAAAACTTTAACCTTAGACTGTCTACTATTGACCTCTCACCCCTTTCCTAAGAGGTCTGTAGGGGGCGTGCATAAGTGCACCAACGTGCCTACCGTCCCTGTCCTATTGTTTCTTTTATTTTTCTTTTATTTTTCTTATATGTACCCATTTCATGTATTCATAACTATGTATACACTTATACTTATTATCTTGTAAACAATTGACAAATAAAATAAAATAAAAATAAATAAATTTCTTAGCAAACCCTCTTCACATCCTCACAGCAGAACATTCCAACAGCAAAGGATCACGTTTTCCCATGGGCTCTTTCCAGACAGCACAAGAAATGTTTATTGCCAATAAATGAATGAAAACTATGCTATTCTCCAGCACCTGAGAACTTTCCCCAGGGCCCCCTTCACCTCCTTGTTGCGAAGGCTGTAGATCAAGGGGTTCAGCATGGGGGTGACAATGCAAAACATGGTGGAGATCA